GGGGCAGGCTGCCTGACGGAGCCGTGCTCACCTCTCTGCCCCTCCAGCAGCCTCTGCCCTGCAGCAGCTCCCTCTCACCCAGCTGAAGGGTCCCTGGGCAGAAACCGCTGCCAGGCTGCGGGGAAGGGTCCTGTCAGGGCAGGGGGATGGCACAGCAGGTCCTGCAGGTGMGGGTTGGGGGTKCAGCTGGAGTCAGGGGGGTCTCTGAGCACCCCYCTGTGCCCCCAGGTGTCAGATGCTGTCTACAGGATGGTCTACGAGCTGGCCAAGGCACAGTACGACGCGGTGGTGGCCAGCTGTGAGCAGGAGAGGCCRCAGCTGGAGAGCACCATCCGCACAGACATGGACCAGGTCATCACCTCCAAGGAGCACCTGGCCAGCAAGATCCGGGGTACGGCCCTGGGGGGCTTGGTGACACCCAAATGGGGCATGGGGGGAGCTCAGTGATCCCCAAATGGGCACATGGGGTTCTGGGGGGGCTCAGTGACCCCCAAATGGTGCACGGGGAGAGCTCAGTGATCCTCAAATGGGGCACATGGGGTTCTGGGGAGGGCTTGGTGACCCCCAAATGGAGCACAGGGCGGGGCTCAGGGACCCCAAAATGGTGCACGGGGGATCCTGAGCGGGGTTCAGTGATCCCCAAATGGTGCACACGGGATCCTGGGGGAGGGTCAGTGACCCCCAAATGGTGCACCTGGGTGGGTGGGGCTGCATCCATGGCTCCTGGGTTAGCARTTCCCGGGGTGCAGCACAGCTCCTGCCCCCCTGGGGGTGCCTGTCCTCGCTGGCACTGTCCCAGGAGGTCGGGGACAAGGCTTGGTCACCCCCCGAGTGTGGCAGTGGGGCAGGGATGGGTYCAGCACAGACCAGGGGCTCTCTGCGAGAATTCCTTGTGTTGCCATGAGAGGAGGAGCCCTCTCCTAAAGAGGCTTGGGAACAGGGGCAGGCGTTCCCCTTTTGGGGTGGGTTTAGGGTGTGGTGTGAAGGGCTGCRAGGACAGAGCAGCCTCACCACTCTTGTCCCCGCTCTCTGCCAGCCTTTGTGCTGCCCAAGGCCGAGGTGTGTGTCCGTAACCACGTGCAGCCCTACATCTCCTCCATCCTGGAGGCCCTGATGACCCCCACGAGCCAGGGCTTCGCTGAGGTGCGTGAGGTGTTCTTCAAGGAGGTGACCGACATGAACATGAAYGTGGTCAACGAGGGCGGCCTGGAGAAGCTGCCAGAGGTGAGAGCTGGTGGTGGCTCTGGGGTGACAGGGGTCACCCACRGGGGGTGGAATGTCCCCTCCCTGAGTGCATGGAGAGGCTGAGCGTGGCTGTGTCCCCAGTACATGGAGAAGCTGTCCCACCTGGCCTTCCACCCCGTGAAGATGCAGTCGTGCTACGAGAAGATGGACCAGCTCAAACTGGAGGGGCTGCAGCAGCGCTTCGATGTCTCCAGCACGTCTGTCTTCAAGCAGAGGGCCCAGATCCACATGAGACAGGTGGGATGGGTACCTGGGGCCTGCCCTGTCCCCCCTGGGGTGGGAGCTGCAGGATGGGATGGTGGGGCTGTCCCAAAAGGTGGGCGATGGAGCCCCTTTGGTTTGGAGCCCATGGTGGGCTTGGGCATCACGGTACAGCTGTCCCTCTGCCAGCAGTGTCACCAGCACGGCCAGTAGCCCAGTTCTGGGGCCTGATCCCACCAAACCTGGGGTGGAGAACGGTGAGKGGGTGCAAAGCCAGCTTTGAGCACYCTCCTCTGCCAGCACCCTTGGTCCTTGGGGTGAGGGCTGTGGGTGTTGGGGACCTTGGCAGAGTGAAGGCTCTTTGCCTGTTGGATATTGGGAAGGAATTGTTCCCTGGGAGGGTGGGCAGGCCCTGGCACAGGGTGCCCAGAGAAGCTGTGGCTGCCCCTGGATCCCTGGCAGTGCCCAAGGCCAGGCTGGACATTGGGGCTGGGAGCAGCCTGGGACAGTGGGAGGTGTCCCTGCCATGGCTGGGGTGGGATGGGATGATTTTAAGATCCCCTCCAACCCAAACCATTCTGGGATTCCATGACAGCCTCTCATCAATGCCAGCATCACCCCCAGCTCCCTGGAGCATCCCGTGCCCAGCTCCATCCCCTGCCCATCAGTACAACTGCTCAGGGGAAAAATCCCCACAGAGCCAGGCCCCASAGCTGCCCTGATGCCTGTTTGCCACCCTGAGGGAGAAAATATTTATTAATTAAAGCCATCAAAGCCCAAACCCCACCGGGGCTGCAGGACCATGTGGCCGGGGCAGAGGCAGGACCTGCCTCCCACGTCACCAAGACTCTGGCAGGAAAACACGATTTTCCTGCTTGGCTGTGGCCTGGGCACTCCTGGGCTGAGCCCCAGCTGCCTGGGATGGTGAGAAATTTCCTGGGGAAGGCGGTGCCAGAGCTGAAACCTGCTCAGAATCGGGTGTTTTGTGGGAATTTCAGACGCTGCCCATTTTCTGAAAGCTTCTTTCACTACTGGGAGCTCTGGGTAGTTTCAATTTCACCTCAGTTTTGCCAGAGCTTCTGTAATAGGGTGGATCTGGAGCCTGGCTTCCACCCTCCCCTGTTGGATTAAATCCCCTGAAAATGTTGCTCTGTTCCTTTTTCTTGCGTGCTGGGGCTCGTGGGGATGAACGTGCCCCTCAGCCCAGCTGGGGCCGGGCTCCTGAGTGCTGTGACCCCTCATCCCCTGGGATTCTGCCTCAGGATCATTTCTGGCTGGAGCTCAGCCCCACAGGGCCCCCTGTGCCAGCTGCACCCACAACTGAGCTGGGA